CCTCTGAGGTCCAAAGATGAAACAGTAGACCCAATATCCGAACTATTACTTTGTCCCTTGCATGCAGATCCTTAGAGTTTGAATGAGGGGTCCATTTTGTGATAGATACAGAAGCTGAGTTCAATTTACAACTCAAAGCACAGAGTTGCAACTCCTCTCCAACTACCTCAAGCAAGGGCTTACAAGACTCAAAGGGGGTTAAAATGATAGAAAAGTTCAAGTTTAATTTCTTTAACAACTCTTCTGCAACTGTCCTCCAATTTTTTGGAGGTACTGTAGAAGTTACTATAAACTTTTTCTCCCACTCGTTCTTGAGCTCATTGCAAACCATTCTGCAATCTTTTGCTGCTTTACCCAGAATTTGTATACCTGCAACCTCTGCCTGAAGCTCTTGTTTCCTAGCTCCACCAACTCCATTCCCTACCTGTAAATGTTCTTCCTTCTCAGAGCTGCTACCTTCTCCAAATCCCTCCCGGGTAAAGAAGTCCTTCAAAACATTTGACACTTCTTTCCATCCAACCACCAACTTTTCTTCAGGAAAACAAACCATTTGTTTTTTTCCTTCCCCAAAAAACTGCAGCAAAGCCATAAACCTTCCTCTAGAGTTCTTTCTCCTCTCTGCTACAAATCTCCTACCATTAACCTCTTTTGATTCTTCGCACTCTAACTTTCCACTTACCTGAACTGCTTTCTCCAAGAATGTCCAGAAAAAAACTACAGCTTCTTTCCCGACCAGTAATACCATGGCCTTGTTTAGTTCTCTGATTTTCAAAGCTTTCTTCCCTTTCGCCCTAAAGCTTTCAAAAGGAAACTGCTTAGCCTCAACCTTCAAGGTCCTTCGCCAGCTTGTTGCTATGATAAACTCTCCTTCCTCCATACCACTCCCTAACATTTCCAGACTATTTCACTTACCCAGATATGGTATTCTTCATTGGATTGAATGTTGATGTGAAAATCAAAATATCACCCTTTGCTTGTTCTATAGCCTTCTGTTCACTGAGAACACAACCTAATGTTTCACCTGAAGAAAATGATCAAAGTCAAGAACAATAAGAGAAAATGATGAAGTCAATATCTTTTGTATACTCAATAGTTGTATAGCATTTTTTCAAATTATTGTAAATTTTGTTTTAATTTAATTTAATTTATTTGATTTTTTTAATAACGTAACTTTTTATTTTCAATTTGTAACTATATTGTATTTTTTATATTTTATTAATTTATTCCATTTTCCAATTTTCATATTTCATTCATCTAACCATTGTATGCTTTGTATCATTCAAAATTAAATGAAATAAAATTCCTATTTTTCTTCCAATTTGTTATTCACTTTGAGTCTTTATCTCTTTGACTTCTTATTTGGTTAAGTTTTTTTTTTCATTTCTTTGTTAGATTTCTTATTTTTCAATTAGTTCCCAAAGGAAAGTTAAATATTTTAGTTTTACTTAGCAAAGAAATAAAAAAAAAAATCAAAAATGTCAAAAAAACATAAAAAAAAACAGTCTGGCCCGATTCGGCCCACGCCCAAGGCCTAGCCTATGGTCTAGCCTAGCATAGCCTATAGCCCACCTGGCCCATGGGCCAAACACGACCCGTTTTACACCTTTAGTTATGTGCTTGTTCAAACCATCAGAGACACAAATTTGAGCCTAAGGCACACAAGTGTGTATTCTTAGGATATGCCTCCACACAGAAGGGATATTGTTGTTTTGATTCGATTCGTGGCACCCGCTTTGTCTCCAGGGATGTCACATTTGCTAAGTCTATTCCTTTCTTTGGTACTTCTCCTAAGGGGGAGCATTCTAAGGAGCCATTTGCTATGTCCCGGGCTATTCCTCTTCCAGTTCCTATTGAGTCTTCTATGGAGTCATCTACTTCTGTTACACCACCCACTATGTCCCCTTCGCGTGTTCCTACCCCTCCTCCTCCTGCTAATCCTCCCACGTTTCCTTCACATCCTATTTATCAAAGGTGGTACCAAAGACAAAGACTCAGGTATGGGCAAGTTGTTTCCACTCCTTCCACAAAGCCTCATGCACCTCCCATCACTACTAAGGTCACAGGCCAGCCTTCCTCTAACCCATCTACTACCTTTCCAAACCTTGACCTTCATATTGCCCTTCGCAAAGGCAAGCAGAAGTGTATAGCACATTGTATCTCCAAACACCCATCCTACAGCCTTCTTTCCCCAACCTATTATTCTTTACTTGCCTCCATTTCTACACATGTTATTCTCAAGTCCGTACTAGAAGCCTTATCCAAACCAGAATGGAGGGATGTTATGATGACTGAACTAATTGCTTTGCATAAGAACCATACCTAGGATATTGTGGACCTGCCTGAGGGTAAGGAACCAGTTGGTTATAAATGGGTGTTTACTATCAAGTATCATTCTGATGGTACTGTTGAGAGGTTTAATGCTCGATTGGTTGCTAAAGGCTATACTCAGATGTATGGTATTGATTACCTTGAGACCTTTGCTCCTGTGGCTAAAATGACTTCAGTTCGAATTTTGTTATCTCTAGATGCTACCTTTGATTGGCCCCTTCATCAATTTGATGTTAAAAATGCCTTTTTGAATGGAGACCTACATGAAGAGGTCTATATATGTCTTTACCTCCAGGAGTGTATGGAAAGGAAATGCAAGGGAAGATGTGTAAATTGAAAAAGTCCCTTTATGGTCTCAAACAATCTCCTAGAGCTTGGTTTGAGAGATGCAGAGCTGCCCTTGTTTCTTTTGATTACACACAGATTCAGTTTGATCATACTTTATTTGTAAAGAAAAGTAATTCCTTGGTCACCTTTTTTATTGTTTATGTTGATGACATTATGGTTACTGGTAATGACACCCAGGAAGTGGTTAAGCTCAAAAGGTTTCTTAACACTGAGTTTGAGATCAAAGATTTGGGGGATCTCAGATATTTCTTGGGAATTGAAGTTGCTAGATCTAAGTATGGTATCTTCATTTCTCAACGCAAGTATGTCCTTGATCTTCTTGTAGAGACTGGCAAACTTTGTGCTAAACTGGCCTCCACCCCTATAGGCTTAAACCACAAGCTTTCTGCTACTGATGGTGAATTGTTTTCTAATAGCGGAGTGCTCCAGAGACTGTTTGGGAAGTTGCTATATCTTTGTATGACTCGGCCAAATATTTCCTATATAGTGGGTGTCATTAGTCAGTTTATGCATCCTCCTAGAGATACAGATTTAGTAATTGCAAAAAGAGTTTTATATTACTTGAAACGCAGTCCAAACATGGACATGTGAAGTTGGAAGAATACATTGATGCTGACTAGGCCGGATGTATTGATGATAGGAAATCCACCTCAGGATACTATGCTTTGGTAGCGGGGAACATTGTCTCATGGAGGAGTAAGAAACTGTCTATAGTAGCTAGATCTTCAGTTGAAGCAAAGTACAGGGCAATGGCACATGGAAGTGTCAGAATGATTGTGGTTGAGATCACTTTTGGGAGAATTGGGTATTGATTATGAAAAGCCAATGATGCTCTATTGTGACAATCAAGCGGCTATCAACATTGCACATAATCCCGTCCAGCATGATAGAACTAACCACATAATGGTCGACAGACACTTTATACGGGAAAGAGTTGCTTCGGGGGAAGTTTGCTTGCCATTCATTACTTAAGAAGAGCAGTTGGCTGATGTCTTGACCAAGGGTGTTCCAAAAGGAAAAATAACTCACTATATAACCAAGTTGGGCATGACTGACATCTATGCTCAACTTGAGGGGGAGTGTAGACAGACTCGGCCAAAAGGGCCCTAGTACTTGTTTATGTTTTAAGTAGCATCATGTTTACATTTTATGTGTTAATGGGCCTTTTTCATCATGGGCTTATTAACTTGTTTTGTGTTTCTTTTAGGTTATTTAAGTGCTGACCGCCCATTTAAGGGCTAAGATGTAATTAGCCATAGTTAAGTGAGTTTAATAAAAGATTAAGAAAGAGAGGAGTAAACCATTGAATTCTCTTCTCCTTTTTCTTCTTCTCCTCCATCTCCTTCTTCCTTCTGCTGTAATCACCTCTTTTTCTTTTTCTTTTTCTTTTTATTGTTGTAATCAGGTTTAATTATCAGATTTGAAGGACAGTTTTACATCTAAATAGAAGGCCAAGACTAAGTGAACATCTAAAGGAATTTTATTTTTTTTGATAATTGAAAAGTTACTTCATTACCAAAATGTAAGCAAAGTTACAGCACCCCAAAGAGAGGCACGAGGTGCGACCTCTCTCGAAAGTAAACGTGTAAGAAACCACAGTACACTATAATCAAACTAGAGATAGATATGCCCAACTAAAACTGAGTAGGAACAGAAAAACTTCCAAATTGGAGATAGAAAAGCAAGAGACAAGCAATGAACCTCTGAGAGAAAAAGCCTTTAGGGACACATGACTACCCCAAATAAATCCAACCTCGATAGATTCCGTAACCCCTCTATTAAGAGCAAGTAGAAAGATGATGAGAGAGAAATTTTTCCTACTAGTTCTTCCTTCTACAATAACTCATCAGACTGATCAGGTAATAAAGGAGCATCCTCCAAGTTCTCAAGAAGGAACACACATGACCTCCCTCCTTAGAAGTGCTCTATGAAAAACATAGCTCCAAATGTTCAACCCGCCATGGAAAAAAAAAAAGAAATTAGAAATGACTCCTTTCATAAGCACTTTTAATTGTATATTAAAAACACAGAATTACTATCTTAAGCACTAAATACAGTGATCTTGGAATATCCAAAAAAATGGAAACTTTCAAAAGTTATGACTTTGAACTGTATATCAAAATAGAACATTTCTTCATATAAGAAAAAAATAAAATCTAAAAAACAATGTCATCAATATACAACTTACATTAGCACTGTACAATAGTATACAAAGGTTACAGGAGGACAGAAAATGTAGAAGGATAAATACATTATGAGCACCACTTTTACTATGAATTCGACTAAGCACAAAAATCAATAAGTGGCATAATAGAATTGCATACCCATCTCCAGAAGATGCTGCAAGTTCTAGACCCTTGTTTAAGATCTGTTTCTGTGGAGGGATAGCACCCACAAGATGATAGCACTGGCTCAGCAAGCTATATGCTCTACACTTCAGTTCAAAACATGAAGGAATGGACTTCAGAAGTAATTGCTGTCCAAATATAAATGTTCTGTTAGAACAAATGAAATTATGCAACAAAGTATATGCCATATACTTTAGCAAAAAGCATGACAGAACTACAAATAGCAACTTCTGTACTAGTATTTTCCATTGGTAACTGTTATGATTCGGCCTGCCTTAGAATTCTATCTGTCTGAGATCGGTTAGGTAGAAAGAGGTAGAAAGGTGGAAGAAAGAGAGAAAGAGAGAAGGGGAAATTCTGGTTCGAACTGGAAGTCTCAACATAACCTTCTCCCAATCGGCCAGACAAAACTTATATTATTAAAACTGATTGAAAAGACATATGTGCCCTTATTTAAGTTAAGAGCACTGGTTCCAACACAACGTTACAGATCAGCAACATTAATCTAGGTATAAAGACAGAAATACCCCTACGCTAATACTCCCCCTCAAGCTGGTGAGTATATATCATATACTCCCAGCTTGTTACATATGTAGTYCACTCTTCCCCGACTCARGCCTTTTGTAAATAAGTCAGCCCACTGATTTCCTATATTAACATGTGTAGTGTCTAG